CAGCAACAACAGATCTGCTTTTTATTTTTTTACTTGTAATCTAGGATCTTGACAAGCATTGCGGGGCCATTTATAAAACCATGCACAGCCTGAAATCCTGCTTGCGTTTCTTCCCAAAGCAAATGCATTTTTAATTATGAAATTATCATTTATAACAAGCAGTCGTCTAATGGTATCTAATGCTAATAATTATTAAAACTGCATCATTTTAGGAAAGCAGAGTCTTATAGATTTCTCCATTGACAGTCTCCATCTTCATTAGCAGAAACCTAAATTATCCGGATGCTTTCACAATGAATACCTGATAGATCTACTATTATAAATAATAACTGAGTTGCGGGCCTATTCACACTTGTCCTTTTCATGCAGCATTAAGATGCATTGCAAATAGAAATCTCATTATCTCCTATGTAGATGGTTCACATCTATGTAATGCAGTTTAGTATGAAAGGGAACTATATTTGCCTGTTCACACCTATGCATGTGCAATACCACGTGTGCCGCATACAAGGAATTGTAGTGTGATGTAACACTAAAAGGTGTTAAGCAATGGCTTCTAAACATACTTTATATAGGAGACGCTGCTTGGTTCCACCTGTTATTTTATTTTAAATATCAATTACTATTAATCAATAAATCCAAGGCTTTGAGGTGTTAGGTGTTTAATATGATGATTTTAGATTGTAAGCCCTCACGGGCAGGACCCTCCTTTCCTTCTTGTCTTAAATTGTATTGTGACTGTAATGTCTTCCTTATATTGTAAAGCGCTGTGCAAACTACTGGCGCTATATAAATCCTGTATAATAATAATAATTTGAGACTATATTAGTGGATCAAGTTCTTCTAGACCAACTTCTGCTGATAATTAGCCTGTATATAAAGATGGAATATTTAAATAGGTAGCAAGCAAACAGTACACAATGGAATGGCTAGGCATGTTGTTTAATTTGGCCTGGGTTTGTTTATGTGGCCTTTGATCATAATGCACATTATTAGTGTGGAAATTGAAATCTGACAAACACATAATGCTGCGCACTTATTAAGTCAAGTGCACAAGGTCCACGTTAAATATAAACATTACAAAACTGCTGTTAGGTTCTGCACCTGTTCAAATAATAAAACACCACCCTACAGCAGTCTTCATCTTACCAGCAGCTCTTCCGTAAGACTTCATGTGGTTGGAAGCCAACGGACCTTTAAGCTTGATTAAATTATCTGGCCAAAATATTGCCAAGGCCATTCAAAATTGCCAGAAGAAACAAGAAGAAGGAGTAAATGAACCAAATGGCACAACAAGGAAGTAAATAACCAAGAGTTCAATACCAAAAAACTATCGAAAAACAATTAGGGTCATGGTGGGCAGAGCAAATGACCAACTGGGAATGAGCTAAAGTTGACAATGGAAAGCTGACACTATAAAGTGATTCCTCAGAGCCTGAACATGCCCTGTAATGAGTATAAATATACAGTGAGGAATTACTTGTCAGCTGAACTGATTTAATGCATCATCACGCACTGGCACAAATGCAAGAACAACAAGAACAAAGTCCTGGACATAAGCATGTGTATGTGCAAGGTAATAATTATAAGTTTCTAACACGTCCTATAGTTAAATTGTTGAAGAACCAAGCTATACAAGCACTCAAACTCAAAGATAAAGCCACTTAGCCACCAGTTTTCAGGAGTGGCACCTTTATACAAGACTTCTCTTATTTGTTGATAACTTTTTAAATGAAGCAAATAAAAACATGCAAATTGCACTACTTACAGTATCCACACCGTGTTCCTCCTTCAAAGACAAAGCCATTTGGCACAGCCCCATATCGTCTTAAGTCAGACAACTTCCATTGCCCAATCACAACTGGTGGAAGATCTCTAGCAAGAACTAAGATGTCATTGCACAGATGCAGTGTTGCAGGTCCACTTTCCAGTTTGGTGCCAGGCAATACTCCAACATGGAATCTGTGAACTGAGATGATAGAAGTTCTGTGGTTAAATGCATCAGCATGTTGTCTGTATATATGTTTCTTCCTGTGCGCTTATGTAACTTTCATTGAGTTTTCCAGCATACTGATAAAAGCCCTTAATAATGTCAACTTATAAAACAAGCAGTGACATGGACAGAGAGATCATGAAGATTAATAAATATTAATTTGGCCTACAGACTTTAGACACAACCGAGATCTCCAGAGGTTGTTTGTCATTTCATATGCCTCACAGAGAACTATATTGAAGGTACCCCTCGGGAAAGAGAAATGTCAAATGACAATAGACTAATATTACTTTGTGTTTCCTCTTTTATTTAAAGCCAAACTCCAAACAGGTAACAAAAACAAGAAGGCCAGACAGTGGCTTTGGGTAAAGCAGCTCCCATATACTTTATGTATTTCATTCGTGCATTTAGCTGTTTGCTCGAAGTACAGCTTTAAAGCAGTACTCTCCAGAAATAAATCATCATTAAATGGATAGATAACTTTAAAAAGGATGCAATTCCATAACCCTAAACTAATAAGATTTTAAAATTATGAATTTTTGTTCTCTCAATACCTATAGGCCTTTTGTGCAGTGAGTGAAGCCTACCCTCACAACCTCACAACCGTTTCCAAAGCTGTGCTCTGTCTTCTGAGACAGACCAGCTGAAGTTTCAACAAAGAATCCTTGGCAAATTGAACCTGGACAGATTCACTCATCCCTAACAAGAAGCTACTTATATCATTATACACTTGCCACCCAAGCTTGTACACTATGATAGGGTAATAGAAGCCTTTCATGCATGATGGAGTCTCCCATTTCCACCACAGATAATGCGCTACCAGGGTATCCTAACACCAGCAGCTCAAAACAGTCTTTTGAGACCTGAGAAAAGATGCTATAGTTATACAACATGGTTGTGCTATGGCCTGCCCATTCCCATTCTCCTTGGCTCCCTATTGACCACAAAGTATAATGGGTGGCATTACTGGCCAATATGAAACCAAGGACAGTAGAAAGGGACAGGCAACAGCTTGACCATAATAGATCTGGTTCAAGTTTTCTTAAAAGAGCACCTTAGACTTCTGGGGTATCTGGCCACTCTGGATATAAACATGAAGATATCTAAATGTGCGTGCATTAGCATGCTTCTGTTAGTTTTTAATGTTTTAAACCCATTGGTTCACTTTATTGACTGATACAAGCTGACCCATATGCCGTCAGAGGGCAGCAGGCATACACGGTCATTATGCAGTACTATTAAAGGAGAACTATGGGGTCAGTGTTTTTCCCCATAGTTCTCCTTAGGGTAACGGGAGGTTACAAACTAGCGTCCTCCCATTACCCTAAGCTCAGTATACCGCGAGCTACAGCTGACGGGATCCGCCCAGCTGCGTGAGTGACAGCTGGCTCTGCCTATCTAGAGGCAGAGCCAGCTGTACCCGCCCCCTTCCCCGTCCGTTCCGCCAGTCAGCGCTGGCAGATCGGAGCGGGGAGAGGGGAATCCAGCCCCTCCCCCTGTCACGGCAGAGAGCCGTGACAGGATCGAGAGGTGAGCGAACCCGGTATGTGTTCGCTCACCTCCCGATCTACTGAGCCGACCTGTGACAGTCTCATTGTCACAGGTCGGCTAGAACTATGAGGTGAGTGAAAAGCACTAACCTCATAGTTCTCCTTTAAACAGGGGCTTAATAACTGCAGATCATGGCACAGCTTAATATGGCCCCTCCTTACTGTCACTGATCTTTACATAAAGTATGTCTAAATCAAGGCCAGATAGCAGCAGAGCTGTCAGCATAGTCAGTATACTAGGGAGCAGAGACATGTACAGAATTTGCCAGGAAAGAGGGGGACAATCTTCCAGCAAACTATTCCTCAATTGGACACCAGTCCTTTTCAGCTTTTCACATCTCAGGGTCTCACTGTAAATCCTAAGCCTTCCTACCCCATCCACCGCCACAGCAAGCAAGTGCTTAAAGAGGTAGTCTAGTAGTGAGTAAAAAAGAAAAGTAGTAGTAGTAATGATAAAGACCAAAACAATATTTTATATGAGGGCCTAATTCTTACTACTCCCGTACACAATTATTCTATAAACTTAAAACAAACTTAAACTTTGTGTTCAAAGAAGTTTATATTAGGATTATGGATAACAGCTGGCAGTCTTTAGCTAAGAAGACACTGTGAGATTTTTGCAGGCTGTAGAAGATTGCGCTAGCATTAGGTATACAGGGTAAATTTCAGTGCTGGCTGGAATGACCTGAAGTTTTACATTATTAAGACAGCTAAACAGATTCTCCTTACTGCACAGCCTGCAAAGGGGGTTCTGTAGCTAGCGACAAAGACTTTTAAAGACTGTAAAGCCTCATTCACACTGTTAAGAGCCGGCCCGTACAGATCCGTGCAGTGTGCACGGCCATATTGGGCCACTTCCGGGAAGGACAGGTGCTGCGTGTGATTGTACGCAGCAGCCTGTTCTTCTCTATGGGAGTACACTGCCGTACGCCGCCTTACACTCACCTGAACTGCACATCCGTGCAGCTGCGGGTGTCCGTACACGGACACAGACAGGATCCATCCTGTCTAGTGTATCATCTTTATCTGTATATACTGTTTGAATAAAGATGTAATGTTTTCCTGTTCAAAAAGGAAATAAAGATGTAATGTTTTCCTGTTCCTGTTCAAACAGTCAATCATTTCCATGGGATTTACGTACTTTTGCATATGACTATACATATACTGTACAAAAGGCAGAGCTTAGTAGTACCGGAGGTATGGCTTGGTAAGTGCCTGTCTACCTTATCCTCCTTATTTGCAAAGTAATGTTTGTACTCTTTACACAAAGGAAAGTATCTGAGGTTCAAGCTTTTAGAAAAACAAATAGTTACCTTCCCCTAAGCTGTAACGTATCCGTACATCCCAGGCATTCATAATGTCTTTATTATCAAACCCTAGCATGACGACTTGTGAGAAGCAGATGATGGCCACACTGTAACCCATGCCCTCATAGGAAAGCCCAGCATCTACTCCACAGATGTCCTCCAATGTGACGCTGCTCTTCTCCTTGTGCCCCTTCGTCCTGTCCGACTTATCCTTGTAGATCAGCATCAGCAGGCAGTCTAGAAGAAAACAGATACTTATTGGAGAGGAGAACATTTACATTTACAATATTCTATATCTGCCTGGACACGAATAATCTGGAGCCTTTTAATGAAGTGTTACATTTCCTGTCAAATTCCATATTATTTTTGTGCAGAGCTTAGTTATGTAAATTGCATTCTCTCCTTTCTTTATATGCTATAATCATAAAGCGAACGTGACAATATCATGTTCTGCCTGTTATTTTTGCCCATGCTTTATTTAAAACAACTCAGTGTGTTCTCAGCCAACGTATAAAATGTAAACATGCAAACTGGACAACTGTCTTCACCCTGGTATAGGTTACAGCCATGTAATTGAAGAAGGGTGTGGGAGAGCTGGGTTTGAATCTCAGAGCCTATAGGCCCTAAAAGAGAAACTCCACCTTTGTAGGAATATAACATACAACATATAATTCCTATAATATCTGCCTTGGTGTTTAACCTTTTCAGCCCCTGCAGCCATATACGAATTACAGACCAGACTAGATCTTTTTGTCTTTACTTATGATACTGAAGCAATACATACACATCAACTTTTTTATCAGGTTGAACAAGGATTTCTTTTGGCAATGTAGGCAAAAATGTTATTTTCTAGGCAATCAACAGAGAAAAATAGGTAACCAAAAATAAGATTTGTTCTAGTTAAAAAAAGAAAGAATTTAAAAATAAAATACTTGGAATTGAAAAAAAGAAAGAATTCCGGGCTTATGACAGGCTACCCCTACACTGCAAGGGTTCAGTGCTCGTTTTGCTAAAACAAAAAAATAGATGTACTCACCCGATCTTCGATCTCACCTGGCTGTTAGACTGCAGCCTTTCCTACCATGGGCTCTGGCAGTCGAAGCCCTGCTGACATTCTCACTTTTAATACAAGTCCATTGACTTGCATTGGACGTGAGGACGCCAAGAAACATACCACAGCCGTAACAGAGGGGAGGAGAGGTGAGTGGTTGCCTCCGCAGGACTGGCGATCAGATGAGTATATATATTATCCCCTAGACTAAAATGACCAATTAACCCCTTGCAGTGCAAGGGTTAATTGTCATTTGCCCCAAGTTTTTCTTTAAGGGCTAGGTTTACCTTTCTGACCAAGGGGTTGATTTACTAAAGGCAAATAGGCTGTTCTCTTTGCAAGGGAATCTTGCAGCTAAAGTTTCCCTTTAGCTTAGTGAATGAGGTGAAGCGCTGGAGACTTCCATCATCCAATCATGTGCAAGCAATTGTATTGTTTTGCTACTTTCCTTGCACATGATTGGGTATTCTTTGCAAAGTGAAATTTGTTCTGATTCACTATGCTAAGGGGAAACTTCCCCTGCAAAGTACAAATTCCCTTGTAAAGTGAACAGCCTATGTGCCATTAGTAAATCAACCCTACTGAGGGGCGCTGTAAAGCTTTCTCGCACAGGGCGCCTAAAGGCCTAAGGCCGGCCCTGGTTCCATCAGCCACTGCGGCAGAGGGATTTATAATTGTCAATGGAATACAAGTGAAGTGGCATTACCACATTTGTAGTCCATTGACACTTCCTTCCATCCGCGTTACTACATGTCCATACCTCGGTACAGACCTGGACAAGAGGAACAGTCTGCAGGAGGCAGAGCATTGATCTAATAATCTACCGATCCACTGATCATGGTAATACTTTACTGAATCCTATGCCAAAAAATGTTTTCTTTTATGAAGAAGAGTATATTTATTTATTTATTTATTTTTATTTACAAAAGGTGGGGTTTCCCAATTTCCCTTTAACCAGTGATAGTTATAAAACAATTTGTGAAACTGTAAATTAGTGCAAACGTTTTTCTCTAATTAGTCCTGCTTACAACGACCTTCAAATTAATTTTGATACATGGCATGGAAAGGTTATTCACAATTTTTTTTTTATTAATTTGCCACCATGTTTCCCTGTCTTTACCAACCTAAACCTTTTAATCTAAACTGCTGTGTTTATTATCAGGGGAATTCATAAAAACAGGAGCAGACAGAATCTGCAGCAGTTGCCCGTGGCAATCAATCGGCTTCTCTCTCGGGTCCACGTGTCAAGTAAAGTTGTATAGGCAACTACACAGAGCAGTTGTCCTCCCCAGGTGCAGGTTTCTGTATGGACATGGAGCATGTTGCACGGCTGTACACATCCATGTGAATGAGGACTTTAGCTATGTTTACTGCAGCAGCGTTCAGAAACGTAAACCAGAAACCCATGAGCCCTGCATTCAGTGAAGAGAATATGGTCTTTTTTTTTTACACTGTGACCATGTAAGGCCTCATGCGCATGGCCATTAAAAAAAAAACACAATGCAATGTGTTTTTTGGTTATGGATCTGAATGCAGGTACCGTATATTGTTTTCAATGGAGCCATTCACACAGGTACATAAACATGCTCCGTGTTCAGATCCATAATTGGAAAATCTGCATCAGAGGACATAAATTTTACTTGCATACTTGTGTAAATGTATGTTTACTGATATATGCCATTATGTGTAATTGTGTAAATGAACTGATTGCACAGGAAATTGCATATAACAAATAATGGAGCACTTGCTCTGCCCACATTGTTGGCGCAGGATGGAGATGGCTGGAGCAGCCTGGCTTTGTAGCAATCACTGCACGTTTACACTGTACTCTTGCATGTTAAAGAAATGTTTACATGCATACAAGCCTATGGGCAAAATTTTACGCAGGGCAGAAGATGGCAGCAAGATCCGACATTGACAGGCTATTTCATTATGCCTCTGTGCCCTTAGAAAGGCCTGATATTATTGTATCACTAATGTTTAGACTAATACTGCCTTTTATAGAATAATTTGTGAAAGACAATAAAAATATTCAGCTTTAGCGTTGATTGCGGATCCATTTACTGTACCTGACACCCACAAAAGTCATGGGAGTGATTATTAGCGTGGAATGATGATTAATAAAGTGGAAACGGCCAAAAACTAATCCATCTTCCTCCACTGAAATCAAGATTTATGAGTGTGGATCTCTATTTCATTCGTTGTATCCAGAATGTCCATTCAACTTCAATGTCTCTCCTCTGCATCACTGTCTCCCCTACATCTCCCTCAGCTGCTCAGCTCACTGAAAATACAACCTTCTTAAAACCTGATATTAGAATATGCAAGCACTGCTCACAGCTTTGTAAAGTTGTTGTGCAGATATGGACTTCTGATCATTAAAATTCTTCCTATGTCCACACTGGAAATACCGGTGTCACTACCAGTAAAGTGTAAGGTAAATATATTTGTTTTATTGAGCAATTGTGACTCCCACCAAGTAACTTGCAAGTGCCCAGTCTAAGTGTACTAAACAGGATGGCGCTGCTGTGATCTAAATGTTGGATGCAGAATTCATCATGAGAGTATTCTGAATGCTGCCATGAAACAAGGGTTTTGTATTCAGCCCTGAATGAACAAGCCCTTAGAAAGGAGAAGTAGGTAAAGTACTGTGAACAATTAGTGGTAAACCCACCCATAGTTCCCGTTTTATCATACCGGGCATCCACAACCCCCATAAGTAAGCTCTAGAACAGCGGTTCTCAACTTGTGGGTTGCAACCCCATTGGGGATCGAATGATGATTTGCCGATGTCAGAAAAAAAAAAAAAGCCGGAGCAGGGAAAGGTTTACTCTGCTGGATCGAGCAGAGTAAACCTTTCCGGGAGAAAGTGTTTCTCTCCCGGGCGGCTGGGAGCCGGTATCTAATAGCTATCTAACGGTAGAAAAACTACAGCGATGAAGGAGCAACGCAAATCATTTTACTGTTAGGGGTCGCCATAACTTGGGCATTGTTATCATAGGTTTGCGGCACTAGAAAGGTTGAGAACTGTTGCTCTAGAAGGACAGGTTTTGGTTAACATAACTTTGGCTTCATGTATCTGTTTCCTGTTCATTTATTATTATTTATTTATTTATTACAGGCGTTTATATAGCGCCAACAATTTACGCAGTGGTTTACATATTGCCCATTCACATCAGTCCCTAACCATAAAGCAATATTAAAGTCAAAATGGAGCTGAGAGAGTTGGAGCCAACTGTTTGGAAACATAATGACTGTAATTGCTTGGGCAAAAATGTAAAGAGATACTTTGCTGGGCAATGCACTTGTTTCTTCTGAATTCTTTATTGGAAAAAGTTTGAGAATTTAATAGTAATACTTTAAGGAACCTGTCATGGTCCTTGGAATACTGAACCACATCTCCTTGACTATATTACACAGTGGTGGGTCCTCCGGCTACTTTGGCCTTCATTTGCATGACCAATAGGAAGGTGTTGGTTTGGGCGGGTTGTTCAAACTGTTGTGTATAAAAGTGTGTGTGTGCATTCAATAAAGCAGATCCCTGTTGGAACTTACATACAGCCTGCCTGGTGTTTGTTTTGAGCTGGATTTGAACAGCACATAGCTGTAGTTCGAATCCCGGATTATCTGACGATCGAAGAATCAGACGTTGCGGTCCGACATCTGGTCCATTAGTAGCAGAGGAGTGCCAGGAGAGTGGAACCAAGCGAGCAAGGGGCTCGTTACATTGGTGGCAAGCGGCGGGATCTGCTCTCCAGTTATTGGGACACTCCAAACCAACACAGGGAATGACCAGCTACGCAGCCTGCAGGAGAGACACACTGAAAGACCTGCTTGAGAGCCGAGGAGGGACCGCTGGGACAAAGAACAAGGCCACCCTGATCAGTGAGCTAGCCGAGATGGATCAGAGGGATGGTGATGCTGGACCCCTGATCAGTGAGCTAGCCGAGATGGATCAGAGGGATGGTGATGCTGGACCCCTGATCAGTGAGCTAGCCGAGATGGATCAGAGGGATGGTGATGCTGGACCCCGGTCCGTTGAGGACTTGTTTCAGCAACGAGTTCGAGAGCGGTTGGCATTATATGGTGCCAACCCATCAGAGACCGCCATACAGAATGCCATTAGAGACATCCAGCTGCAGGATGAGCGACTTGAGAGATTGTCATGGTCCTTGGAATACTGAAC